AAATTTCCTTTCCGAGGCTTTGTGTCAGCCCAATCACATATTGTGTCAATACTTATCATTTTATCGTAATTTAAAAACTTGGAAATTGCACGGTACACTATAGGAACTACGATAAATTTTCCCTAATCGGCGCCATGTTTTTAGGCTCCTCCCATTTGACGGATCCCAATAGACAAATGTCTGTTAATTAGTAGGATTCTTTAACGACATATGACATCTATCAACAACAAACACAATGAAGTTGTATTCTGCAACATTTTCGTTTGGATATGAAGATACGTAAAACGTTGAGTTCGTACAAAATTTCTATTTTAATTGGAAGAGTCATGACGAGTACTGCCATAAATTACTACGTATCGTATCATATCATGGTAGGCAACCATATGGTGGCGCCCATATGTAGAGCTGTATGCAAAAAGCCGAGTGGTATCAATCACGCTTTTAACAAGTGGCAAACGAATAAACGTTAAAAAGGGCAATAAGTACGAAATATAAATTTGTATCGCGATTCGAAACAAAATTGTTGCTCGTTGCACAATAAAATTGTGACATTGTGTGCTTTAATGTTCTGCTCGTCGAAAACGACTCGTTAGCTTTAACTGAGAATTTCAGCAACAACCGGCGCTACGCGTCCCGACGCCTAGCCTAGTCGCTACTACTCTTGTTCCACGTGTGTAATCTATAAATTGTACCATTTCAAACTAGCTCCGTTTAGTATAAAACTGCGGTCTCTGTATAACAAGCAACATTTTATTTCGCGCCGACCCGATTACTTACACCATGCATATAAATTTGAATTTTGACTTTAATCAACAGTTAGTGATAAGCATTCACTACCTAGTTGCATCATGCTTCATTAAACGAATAAAAAGAATGCAATTAAATCATTGTATCCGTTGGAACATAAAGGATAAGACGAAAATACAAAAGAACTCGGTTATAATGACAACTCTGATGTAACGTCAGTTTTTTTTTTTAATAACGGCCTAACTAACATCATAACTTTATAAGTAAAATCTACCAGGTGTGTATTAAAAATTAACTTTCTTTACAGTTCCCCCTACAATTCTTGACACACATAGCACACAATCAACAGTTGCTGTAAGGGAAAACCAAAATATTAGTTTAGTGTGTAAAGCAGACGGTTTCCCAGAGCCAAAGATTAAATGGAAAAGGGAGGACAGAGCCGAAATAAGTGTAGATCGAAGAAGAAAAGGTAAATTAGAGTTTTCAATTTCAATTACACAAGTAACACAAACTAGAAAACATCCACAACGATATTTATTAAACCCAAATAGAACGCAAACAATGTTTAGTCGACGCAAAAAGAAAAACCACAAACATTTAAATAAACCAAAGAGAGACTGACAATCTCGTGTTGATGTTGAACAAGTTTTGTGGTCTCTTTTTGGTTTGTTTATTTATTTATTTATTCATTTATTAACGCGTTACCACGATCCATTTAAAGTGGGTGAAACACGTGTCTCTGTAAATAGTGTCTCTCATTTTCTACATTCGTAGAACATACACGTGTATCACCGAGAATTGTTATATTGGAAAACTTGGAAAGCAGCACAAATATAAAAATTATTAAGTATTTTATTAGAATAATCAACCAATCTTTAAACTTAAAGCGATTTCGATCAATCTCTCTCAACTAAATTAAAATTTCCGGCTCATGTTGGCGTCAAAATCGAATTTATACATGTATAAATGCTGCTTTCCAATTCCGTCAAAAAGAGAACTTTCCGCAGAACAGTATCTACAAAAAAAAACCCGGAAACATAACTCGAGCACAAAAACTTTGTTGTTAACCTTCAACAATATTTGACGAATGACCAACATGTGTTATTTCGTGTAGTACCCTAATAACGGTTAGAGTTTTCGTAAAGGTAAATATTTAGATGAGAGAGAGAAGTTTTCTGTTATTGTTGCAGTGAAGGAATACGAAGGCGAGCAATTAAATATTACCCGTATCAGCAGAACAGAGATGGGGGCGTATTTATGCATTGCCTCAAATAGAATACCACCGTCAGTGAGCAAGCGAATAATCGTGGATGTTGAATGTAAGTGTCCTTTAATTCAGTTTCGTTGTTTGGTTTGTTATTGTCAACCTGTTATCGCCCTACACGCACCGCTGCTTACTCAATAAAGCTACCGGCCCATTTTCTGCGATAAATGAAATCACATTTCCTCATATTTCATAATATATTCCGGGTGTACACGGTACACTGGGAGAAATATAGAGGAAACTGTCACACGTTAGTGCGAACCGTGTGACAAAGGGAAAATAGATAAAAATTCTCCACTAGATGCGGAAGGAATTCTCGTAAAATTTGCTTCGGAAACTAGTCAAGTCCTTCAGCGTTTACTATTGACATTCTTGACTGCACTTTTACCGCTAAATCATCTGTTACTTCCGCCTCATAGGCGCATTGTCCCTACAAATACCTAAAATCAATATTTCTACGAATGTATGATAATACATTTTCAGACACAAATCAATAGAATCTACCGAAAAGTCTCCAACAAAATTGTAACTCGATACACGTCCAGTTTGAATAAACAACATTCATCCACGTACTTATATCAAGCTAGCACGACAAAGGTTGCATTTCTCATTTCTAAAATGCGCTATAATTTGTCGCTAGCTTGTTACATAATCCAGAAATTTGTCGCTTCAAATCAAACTGGTACTACACATAGCATATCTCGAAATTAAAGCAGAAAAACATTGTAAGCCCTACAATTTGTCACTGAAAGATAAAGATGCTATTCTTACCCATTCTGTAGCTAGTCCAGCCTCGAGAAAATCAACTAAAACGATTGGATAGCCAAAAAAGCTAGCATTGCACATCGCGTATCTCAAAATAGAAGTAACGTAGAAAAATACTACATATAAATACCATAATTTGTCGCTAATTTGTCTTTATTTTTCTACGATATTTCTATTTCCGTGTAATTGTCAGTTTTTCGGTGATCAGGTAGAGGCTGGTCTCGCGACAAAATGGACAATAGGACCATCTTGCAGCGACAAATTAAAGCTCTCGTAGTAACTATTTTCTATTCCCAGATACGCTATGTGTAACGCCACCTTGGCGACTCTTTAAGTCGTTTTTCGCTGGACAATTGGGGGACAAACTAGCGACAAAATAAGTAAAAGTTTCATCTTTCAGCGACAAATTATAGGCTTTTGCAGTATTTCTCTACGCAATTTCTATTTTGAGAAGCTCTTAATGTATAGTGTCACCTTGGACAAAATCAGTAAAACTACCACCTATGTGTAGTTTTTCGTTTTTCGGTGATCAGCTAGGGGCTAGACTCGCGACAAAATGGGTAAAAGGACTATCTTGCAGCGACAAATTATAGCCCTTGCAGTATTTATCTACGCCATTTGTATTTTGAGAAACTATATGTAAAGTCAAGTCACCAAGGTGTCACCAGTTGTTTTTCTCTGGACAACTTTAGGATAGACTAGTAATAAGATGGGTAAAAGTACCATTTATATTAGGGTAGTATTCGTCAATTTTCCAATAATCAACTGCAGTGTTGAATTCGGTAACAAATTAGTGACAAATTATATTGCATTTTAGAACTTTGTCCTGTATTTTTGGGGTTTTCCCGGATAAAATTGTTATCTATAGTGTAGGTAACGATGAAATTCTTCCTTGAGAAAATTTTTTTTAGCTCTTTGAAAACGAAAAGCTACTATACTGAATAGAATCCAAATAGAAAAATACAAAGTCATCGAATGACTTACTGTAAGTTATTATCTCAATAAAAAGTACTACATTTTTGGCAATTCTTCCTTACACGATTCTTCCAATTTGAGTTTCGTCCTTACACTAGTACAACTCGATATCCTTCAAATAAAACCAATCGAGATAAAACGATTTCCACCCCAACATATCTAAGCTACAGCAAAAAAATATCCCCTTACTTCATTTCCCTTTCTCATACAACCTATGAAAGCGCTCAAAACCTAGACTTCCACAAATACGTGGTTATAATTTATAGTGAAGCATTTACTTAGTTACACATTTACAATAAAACTACAATTTCAGCAAAATGCCGTAAAGAGAAATGAGAAAATTAAATAATATGTCCAAAATGTTAATCGAAACCAGCGATCGCTATGTATCATAAAAAGCAATTATTAATTCGAGCAGACTCAAATTTAAGTTAGACGAGAACTTTATTTGAATTAAAATTTTCAATTCACAAAAACAGTTGTGCGTTGATGGCATCGTATTCCCTTATTGTCCCACAATTTTTAGTTACCAAAATAGGGAATATCAAGTTTTTCGTCTCAAAAACGAAACCTAATCATTCAAATAAAATGATAAAATTGTAAGTCAAAAACTCACCACACACAGTATGTCAAGCTCGAAGGTCTGAAATAAAGGAAAAGAAACGATTAACTAAGTTTCACAATACAAGCATTGTAAAAAGAGATAATAATTAACAAAATAAAAAAGGAATCACTTGACTAAAATAAATAAAAAATATACATCTTAGGACTCGGCGCCCCCAGGCGACCTCCACCCCTAAATTAGGCACGACAACGCGTTTATAGGATAACTATTTATTAGTTTTAAAAATTATAACCGTCATAAAGTTTATAAAATAAATCGTCGAGAAAACAGAAAGTTTGCCAACTAGATATACTCAAGACTAAAAATTCGTTCAACATACGTGATAAAAGCTTAAATTTTGCGCCAGTTAAACAGTAACTTATCCGGTGCCAATTAGTCATGTAGCGTTCTGGAATGACATTTGTCGTATCTACGATAGTTATGGTATAAATTTGTTCCTGTCGGGCACGTGGACTTGTAATAAACAACAAACGGAAAAGAGTAAAAAAACAGCATCGGCAGCGCCGATACCTTCTGGCAATATACCACTGGAGATCGCTTACTGTGAAGGGGATGAATCACTGCCAAAATGAGAGAGAGAGAGAGACAAGCCAGTGCAATAGCTATCCCCCTGCACTCAACTGCAGAATGCCTATGAAAAAGACAATAGAAAGTAATCGTACTTACCTTCGATAGTATAGTTATAGGGTTGTTCGGAAAGTCATTTCGTTTTTTTTGTGGAAATGAAAGACAGTTTTCGTATAATAAACAAATACTTTATTAAATTATATATTGACCGTTCTGGTCCAACACCTTTTGCCATCTTTCTGGTAGTAGCATAATTCCACGCTCATAAAATTTTTGGTCTTTGCTGGCAAAAAACTGATCGAGGAGGTTTTTGACCTCCTCATTTGAGGTGAAGGTTTTACCGTCTAAAAAATTTTGGAGTGACCGGAACAAATAATAATCCGATGGTGTCAGGTCTGGAGAATATGGTGGGTGTAGCATTGTATCCCATTCAAGCTGTAAAAGCTTTTGGCGAGTGACCGAACTTGTGTGAGGTCTCGCGTTGTCTTGGTGAAACACTACACCTTTCCTGTTGATTAGTTCTGACCTTTTCTGTTGAAGTGCATCATTCAGTTTGTCCAGCTGATGACAGTAGACTTCCGAATTAATCGTTGTGTTATCCGGTAAAAGCTCAAAAAAAACGATTCCTTTAAAATCCCACCAAACAGACAGCATCACCTTTTTTTTGGTGAGTATCGGCTTTGGAAATGGTTTGAGCCGGTTCATCTTTTTTGCTCCATGACCTCTTGCGTTTGACGTTGTTGTATACAACCCATTTTTCGTCCCCAGTGATGATGCGCTTCAAAAACGGATCATTTTCGTGATGTTTGAGAAGCGAATCGCAGACGTCAATGCGGCGACACAGATTTCTCTCTGTGAGAACATGGGTTCACATCAACTAATGCCTTTATCGCGTCTTTATCAGCTTCAACAGGCCTTCCCGAACGTGGTGCATCTTCGACATCAAAATTGCCGGATCGAAATTTAGCGAACCAGTTCTGGCACTGGCCTACTGTCAACACACCTTCTCCATACACATCAGTCAATTTCTTTCTGGCTTGAACAGCATTTTTAGCCTTTCTGTAGTAAAACAGTAAGATATGTCGAAAATGCTCCTTCTAGCTCTCCATATTTAAAAGGGCACCAACCAAAAACTACTGCGTAGAATTAATTGGAATTTTTCACACACAAGCCTTGCTATATGAGCTCTCAAAGCGTATAAAAATTATACGGCTTAAATGTGAAGTTGGGTGCAAAAGAATACAATTTATTCCTCTGTCGGAAAAAAAACGAAATGACTTTCCGAACAACCCTATAGTTAATAATATCATGAATCTTCATTACGAAATTATTGTCTTACTTGTTACCCATAATGTGCCTCGTGATTTAACCAAAAACTCAAGATAAACTTCTAACAGTGAAGGACAAAATAAACAAAAGGGAGGAGTTCTGTATCTGTGTTACGGTTCATGGGATTCTTAACTAACTCTACCAATGCTAAATCTAACGACTGTAGCGAATGTACGAGTGCATACGAAAGACATCTATACAGAAAAGTTGGTGTCGTGCCACTGCGATATATATGTAGGTACGCACACAGACGGACATAAAAAAAGGGGTTGCAAGTGTAATATATCAATTTTTTAATTGAACGGCTGCTGTCTGAAATATTAGCACTTGATTTATTCTCTCGGAACTGCAGGAAGTTCGCTAAAAATAATTAGCGTCATTAATAAAATAACTTAACTGCCCGGGAAAAATGACGGTGAAAAATAAAGTGAAACTGAATTGGCTTTCGAAGCGCCAAAAATCTGGCTCGTTCGACGTCTCTTAATGGACAAGTCATTTAAAAAATCCATTTCCAACTGAAAAATTCCCTAAATATGTGAAAATATTTCCTTTGAAATCGCTAAGTAGTTATAAATGTAACAATCCGGTATCCACGTTCATTGAAAAGTGCTTTTATAAACGAGTTTTCCTCCACCTACAAAATCTTGCCTTTTTATTTATTTTATTAACTTCTAATTACGTAAACCCAAAACTTTAACATACATACTTTGAGATCAAAGCCAAAAAAAATGACAATTGACTTTCGTCTAACGACAAATTAGAGAAAATATTATAGTTTTTAAAATTTTGAAATTGAAACCAGAGAAAGTTTCCTGAAATAAATTGATAAGGTATGTGTATACGTACATCTATCAACAAATTATTTTCATTTTTTTATATTTTGTTTTAACGAATTTAATCTAACCTAACTAAAAATCTTTAGTAGGTGTATGAATTTTTGAAAGCCCAATTTTACATATATCTATATATATATATATCACAAATTTAAAGTGATTTACAAAATTCATTCTCAATAACAAAATATATTAATTAAACTCAAGATTTTTATAAAAACAACGACAGCAAAACTAATGGAAAAAAAAAACGAAAAATTTCGAGAACTTCAAAACCGATGACATCGAAAACTAGGTCATACAATAATGTATAAATTTCAGGATGAAAGCTTTCAAATTTAGTTTGAAAATTTGTCCCGTGCTAAACAATTGTTTAATAAAAGCGTTGAAGCGAAAGAGCGGCGGTCCAGGTAATTTCGTCTATCACGTCGATTGAAGGGAGACAAATTAATAGGATCAGCCATAACAATAGGTCAATTTCAATGCATTAAAAATGTGCAGCTAATTCAAAACAATACATGCCTTTAATGATACTCGTTAACGGTCCAATATAATGCAATATTATCGCGCCAGGTAGCTCTTTGATTATCTCGGAATCTATATTAAACTACAATAGACACTGCTTCTCCCTTCTGCAACTAGTATAACAAATGTGTTCATTGTTTGGTCACAAAAACGAACATCCAAACTGAGTACACAGTCTCAAATAATTGATGATACAGAATCAGTGACCTACAATGGAAAACTGACCCCGAACGCACTTTCATCTGTCCAACAATTCTGATATTATAACTCATACTCTTCTTCTACTACCATCGCGGCCAGTTTAAAATAATCCAAACTACTGTTTTACTAAATAAACCCCCTTTAATCCAATACTTTACAATGGTCTTTACCTTCTCAAACTTACCTACTGGATATAGCAACTCTACATTTAAAACTCATACTGAACAACTGCTATCAAGTGTAGATGGTCCCTCCGGGCTACGCCGGAAGCAAGGGCGGAAGACCCACTTCAGACTCCTTTCAGGAATCGTGAGAATGAGTGGGTGGTGGTTCGGGTGAGAAAGATGAGACAGACGAAACGAAGTCAGAAGGGAATGAAAGATTATCTGTGGAATATTACTGCCTCTAAGTGATCCAAAGAAAACACAGAAAAACTTAAACCAAGGTAGACGGACCCGGAATCGAACCAGCGTACTCCCGAATGCTAAGCAGTGGTCTAAACCTCTAGGCCATGCCTCTCGGTCTACTTGTAGCTGTGATTATAGAAGTGAGATAGAACGCTGCATAGAAACCCCTTGTGTCTACCCTCCTCTAATAAGCCAAGCATGCGCAGATAGGTTATTCCAACTTGTCTAACTACAGAAGGACAACAGGCAGGGGGCCTATCGACAGCGTTCTCTCTCACGCTAGCAGCCCTTTCACGAGCCCTACTCTTATAACTGTATGACTTCTCAAGTCATTTCAGTAATTTTAATAGAAACCCTAGATTTTGAATAACTTTAATCAAAAATTGTTAATATTAGATTAGGTAATGGGTCAAATTCTATACCAACGTTCCCATCGTAGAACCAGTTTGCAAACTTCCCATCAATAAATTATGCTTACAATATTGTCGATGTCTCTTTAAGCACTTGTAGGGCCCTAATGACCAATTGTTGTTCTAATGTACAACATGTATGGTAGTGATTATTGGAGAAATTGTCTGTTAATGATGTGCGCCGATTAATTAAGCAGTTGTGCCGACAAAGTAATATATTTATAGAATAAACACAGCGTTATCAGTGAAGCCTTTGATTCAAAACTAAACGATTTTTTCACTCACAACAATGGGAAAATATCTACGTTTGTAGATAAGCACCTAACTACGCTACAGAAAAGGACTAGGGTACCTTTTATCCCGAAAAAAATGCTGTTCCCCAGGGATAGAAAAATTAGTTTTATTTAGTCGTCGACGATCATTGCGACGTATTTAGGACATCAACAAGAGGTGATGACGTGTTGTAACGTATGAGCTTTGTTCTTCTTGTAAGTTTCCAGTAGATATGTTGTCCTAGTTCCAATAGGTTTAAAGAATGAAAAATTGCGATGGCCAATCCTCCAGCCCGCTATTTGCACTACGAATCGGTGTCCTTTGTCTTGTTGGATCGATGATAATAATAACTTATATTACGAATAGCAAGAAACTTTGCCGCTATTCTTTCATTTTAGTTTGAACCACTCCATTTTGCTTCTTTGATGCCAGGGTGGTGATCAATTTTAAGTATCCGGACGTATATAAAGAACCGTTTGTTCTTAACCGAAAGGAATTTCCTTACTCCCAGTTTGGTACATCCGAAAAAAAACTTACAAAGAACACTTTTAATAAGAATGTCTGGATCATTCTCGGAAAGGGACAGGGCGCGACAATTTAGGAAGATTTCACAGCTCGATCTTTTTTTATTTATTTCTTTAGTCACACGAAAAACGGATCACACGAAAAATTTTATAAAGAGTCATTTTAATTATTTTTCAAAGGTTAGTTCAAAAGCATCTGTCAGACTGACAATGAAATGGAATTAAAGACAAAGAAACTCTTTGCAAAACATTTACCAAAGTTCATTCGATGCCGTTGAACTTTCAGGCCTACATGTAACTATGTCTAACTAACATTTTTCATCACCATAAGAGTTTCCTATAAAAACAAAACATATTGAATCTACATTAGATTAAATTACGTATGTCTATACCCTAGACAAAAATTTTCAGTCCCTCAGAATCTTTCAGAGTCTTTCAGCATCTCTCTCAGTTATTGCTTAGGTGTTTTTATGGATCTCTCAGTCTCTGTGTGAGAGACTCGAACGATCAAATTGTTAATTCAGAGATTCGAGTATCTCACAGAGAGACTGAATGAATAAAAGTGAAAAACTGAGAGACTCGGGTCTCTCGTAGAAAGACTGGGATCTCTGAAACATGTTGAAGTTAGAAAATTTTAACCAGCATGTCTATCGAGACACCACTTATTGAGAGATTCGAGTCTCTCGACAGTCTCTCTCAGCGGCACCAGAGAGACTCGATGTACACGAAATAAATCTCCAAATTAAACAAATATTAAGTATCCCATTTTTGCAGTTCCTCCAATGATTTGGGTCCCGAATCAATTAGTTGGAGCGCCGGCTGGTAAAGATGTAACTATTGATTGTCATACCGAGGCGTATCCACGAGCAATTAGCTATTGGGTGTACAACAACCTAATGTTATTACCGACCAAAAAATATGGAACTGAAACCACGGAAAATAGTTACCGAACTTACATGAAACTGACGGTGCGGAATCTACAAAAAGATGACTTTGGGAATTATCGGTGTATTTCGAAAAACTCCCTAGGAGAAACGGAAGGATCAATAAGGCTCTATGGTAAGTAACAACAAATAAATCCTATGGAATAATGCACTAATTACATATGTTTATCATTCAATTTTAGAAATGCCCGTAACATCTACCCCTCCCAGAGCAACAGAAATGAAAAGTAGCTCAACTAAAGACACCAGTAAGTAGTTTTTATTTAATTTCTTTTTCCATAAGTACGTATTGTACCAGCGGACATTTATATTCTAATCCTTTACAACAATTACTAATCTTGGTTAATTTAAAAATGAAATGCAGACTAGCGTATAGAAAAACCTCTTTTTCTGGTTTTACGAACACTCAAAAATATTTAAAAATTATTGGTGATAATTAAAATTAGGTAATAAATAACATTAAGTTCTTGATCAGTCCCAAACGTCGATTGCGATTTCAGACTTAGTGCTGCCTGTTGCTTTAAATTTGGCAATTTAATGTGGAAAATTCGGAAGAATATTATATATACAATTTTAGTAATAGTGTTGTTGCTTGCTTAAATGTATAGATGTAGACGTTTGTACATAAGTTGAAAGGCTTTTTGTCAGGACGGCTATAGGTAGGTGCACTAAGGAAAATTATGTTAGAACGTGCCACACTGCAAAATTACCTACAACACAATAGTAGGTGACAGTCTGTCACAACATCAGGAAGAAACTTAAAACAACTTATTTTCCAAACGTCAGGCTGTATATTTTTATACATACCTACCTACCTATCTACAAGAAAATTTAATAATCTTCATCTTCTATATTTTCCATTTTCCCCTAGGCTTTTAAAATGTAATTTACAAATTACAATTCTATTTATTTGACAACGCAGTATTTCATACTTTAATTTATCAATGTACAGTTTTTAATAATATCTAATAATAATAATAATGCGCCAATTTAAATTCTTGTCGATAAATCAACTGCAAAATTAATTAACGGTAATGAAGCTAAAAATTACCGAAATCAATTAAAAAGCAATTTTACGTTCTAATTAATCTATTGCTTGTAGCATTTGCTAATAAGAAACTATTAAAAAGCGAATAAAATAAAAATCAGACACAAGCAATTATATTAGGGGAGATGAGAATATTAGAAATTATTCATCATTGATTTGACACAATATCTAGTAAAAGTTAGATTAAGTAATAAAATTTATACTACAGGGGTATATAAAATTAAAATAAACACTTTTTTAACAGTTTTTCTTAACTTAACACTACTGTGTAAGTTTTGTCTTTTCTTACCATTACGTTATGATCCTACGGTTACTAAAAATGTAATCAAAAGTGATTAATATATTACATTCTCTACATATATGCACCTACATTATATCCAGCTAATATGTAAATATAATCGCTATATACTAACGTTGTCTATGACATATGTACAGATTTAATTCGTCATGAAATTACGAGAAAACGATCTTATGAAACGCCACTGGTAGCTGTTTAAATTCTAGTGTAGGTAGCTGTACGAAAGGGCCATCAAATAATCAAGGAGAGTCATCAAAGCTAAACTCAGTTATGGTAACGACAAATGTATAAGCAAACGAGTTGTGAGTAGCCGTAATCCATTTTCAGTTTGAATTGTTCAGGTCTTGAGAATAAGAATGGGAGTTTTTTTTTATCTTTTTTCTCTCCCTTTATGCCATTCGAAATAAAGTCGAGTGAATAGGGACAGCAAACAGTCGCAGCACCTTTGCATTGTTTAGTTCATTGTGAAGGGCAAATTTATGACGTAACTGAATTAGATGTTCCGACCTAAGAACATTAATCTTGAGTTAATGGGAAAACGTTGGTGAGAGGGCGCGAGCCCTTGTTAAAATCACGCAAAAACCTTAATGAAGGCCACGGGGCCGTCAAATGTCCCATTCAGACCCTTCCTTGTTTACTGACACGAACTGAAAGAGCACGTTCTAGTAGCAACGATACGAGCATCGATTACAAGGCGCAACAGAAGGAGCCACCATAAGACACGGAAGATGGACGGGGATGAGAATAAGGGACTTCGTGCTACCAGACGGGCGTCTCCAGACTATTTAGAAGTTTGCACTTATCTCCTGCTTAAAATTCCATATACAGCAACCATTTGTACATTATCGCTAACAAAAGGCTACAACTAGACAAGAAACCTATTTGACAACCAAGTCACCCACATTATTTTCCAAAGTTACGTATATATACCTACCTATCTACCAAATCCTCACATAAAACTACACAATTTTCATTACAACAATAAACAAATGAAAAACACATTCCATACAAAACTAACTATTAAAATGTTGCTACGGTCATCATCGTAAGATCGTCAATCCTAAGACTGGTTGGACACGCACCTCCACTCTTTCCTATCCTAAGCTAATCTTCGCATTTCCCTAAAACTAGAATATTCATATCCTTAATAATTTCTAAACAGTAATCTAATATAGGTCTCTCTACTCCTCTTAACTCCTGTTTCTACTTCTAATAAACTCTGTAACTAACTCTTCATGCCTAAGAAGGTGACCTACCAACCTCATCATTATAAGGTCGTCAATCCGAAGACTGACTGGACACGCACCTCCACTCTTTCCGCGTATTTCTCCTTCTAATCTGTCTCTAACTAGTCCTTCATGCTTGGGAACGTGTCCTACCAGCTTGAGTAAGTGTCCTATCAACCCATCTTGCCTATTTCTTATATTGACTTCCATAGGGTCCTCTATTCTCCTATTCATTCTAATATCTCTTCATTTCTAACCTTCTCTGTCCACGGTATCCTCATCATTCGCTTGTAATATTTCGAACGCTTCTAACCTTTTCTTTTCCGCCGCGCTCACTGTCCATGTTTCGCACCCGTACAGGTCCTAACATACACCTTTTCTTTTTGTTGAAGGCGACTCGACCCTGCGCTATCCTCTGTTATATATCTCTACACCTCCTTCCAGTTATCTGATGACTTCCTATTAGATACGGAAAATCAGTTACTTCTTCTAATTTTCCGTCTGCTATCTTTGTATTCGTGTATTTCCTTACTTTTTCCTTATTTATTATCGTGTTCAACCAAATGGTTAAGGACATATCCCACAATAAAAGACTGCATACTGCATGATGCAACAGAAATATGTTGGCATTCAGGATGCAGTGAGTGTTCAACCAATATAATCTCTCAATCTAATACAAATTGAATTCACTTCGAAGTTTCTAATGCTTTAACCGAAAGTTTTAATGGAAAAAATTGCGAAGGTAGATACCTGTGCTGCAGCTTACAAAAATATCACTAGAGAGTAGTAGACAGAATAAGGCAATTTATTATTACATAATTGGAAAACTGTCCCGCGCACTTTGCAAGACAATAGAATCCCACTACGTAAATAACTACCATCGAGCAACTGTCCCATGTAATAACGAAGACACTTAGTGAATACAAATGTTCTAATTTCTTATCGTCACTTCCTTTACATAACAACTGTATCACATCTACTAGTTCGGTCCGTTCAAATCCAATTTATTTCAATTAAGTGATCGTAAATTTCTTTTCAGCAATGCATCTAGTAAATACACTGAAGACATAATCTCAAAAAACGTCAACAATACCAAAAATGCGTTTTAGAAAATACTACAAATGGCGCAGTAAACGCCATCTGTGGCACGATGCTGTTAAGACAGCAGGTAAAGGTTGGTCTGTGTTCTGTCGCAGCTGCCTGCGACGCGCTGATGAGATCCAAAAAGATCGAAATCGCGATCCGCGTCTGGTAGTTTCGACAGAATACAGATTATTTTAATACCAAAAATGTTCAAGTTTAATCCTTGGCGGTTTAATACAGGATCAATTCCTTATTCTAAAAGGCATCCATTATACTGGGGAGAAGTATGACACGTAGAAGTGTTTCACTTCCGGTCTCATTTACGCTGATAATCTCTCCATGCATTTTAACTAGGTCTCATGTAGCTATCTTCAAGGGTTGTATTCAGTCCTAATTTAGGTTTTGTTCACCACGTCAAGTCCAGCAATTGAACAGATATTAGGATCTTACAAGAACAGTGACGTACCGTATTCTGACTTCTGACATAGTGCAACTTTAAATATTATAATATTCCAATCTACGCCTTTTTGCAAATTTATTCCTAGAAAGTACCGATTGCGTAGACACTGTTGAAAATCTCCTAGTTGCTTTTCCTCAATTGATGAATTTCCTCTAAACGTAAATTTACTTCTTTTAGCTTTTAATTAGAATCTCATTTCATTTCTATTAATCAAGCTTTAATTCGGATTCCTTTTTTATTTCTTAATTGGTTTGACCCATTTCCATGATCTTATGACACTTCCTGTAACTACATAACTAACTTCTATCGATGTATTTAATTTACTGCAACGTCGTCGAAGTAAGTTTTATTTACGAGTATTGATTATTCTTACACTTACAATTATAAATTACATTTGAAAACTTCAACTGCAATAGGTAATAATTATAATAATCAACAATTTAAGACAAAATAGATTATAGATATGAAACAAGTGCCTCTTTATAATATTGTTTGCCCTAGAAATGGCCCCAGCTATTAGTTACGAAATTACGATCTTCTGGCGTAAGTTCAATCGGTAATCTCGCCCAAGTTCTATCTAATAACAACACCGAAAATGAGTAAATGTTTGTTATCACATCAATACTATTATCGTTACAGGCGTTGGAAAGCGTAATGTCAGCCGGCCAAGTGGCCTGGAAGAAGCCCCTAAAGTGGTCATGGTGTCATCCTCAAATGTGCGTGACATCCAACCTGAAAACGACGATGACTACAATCTCGTTCCAGGCCAAGGGCCTATACCACAGCCCGGTCCTCAGGGATCAGGTACTTGTTTTAAAAAATTTTATTCACCTTATAATCACCATCACCACTTTAGTGGACACTTTAATGCACTGAAATTTAATCCTATTTAGGTAGGTACTTAAGTACTGAATGCACTTCAGTTCAATTCAGTTCTTTTGACGAGTGGACATCACTATTTTTTTATTGAAAATCATAAATGACCGATGCCTCGAACCGCCCCTGCCTAGAATATAACTATTAAACAAACATATCGTCGGGAAATGGAAAAGTGATGAAATGTCAATATATTTTCCGTAAAAGATCAGATGGCGTCGTCGCCATAACTGCTAAGTTACAGTAGATAAGTACATTGTAACGAAGATGTACACTAATTGGAGTCTTTCAGTATCACTTTTGCGTTTTGAACGATCTACTCGTTGAAGTAGCACGGCAAAGGAATTAAGTTGCAGCAAATTACGATATAATTAACAGTCATATTTATAAAGTTCGCGCAAGTATTTCCTGCGGGGATATGGAATAATACGCGCCGTTTCCAGAAGCCCTTAAACGATATCCATATTCATAAAACTGAGCGTTAGAAACAACAAAACCGCACATCTTTATTTCTTTACCACATTTCCGCCGCTGAAATTGTAAACAGGCACAAAAAGAAAGCAATCGTAACGGGCATCGTGTGTTATGAAATTTATGCATTTCAACCCGAACCCCTCACAAATGAAAATTGCCAAAAAACAAAGAAGCACCGGTGCATGCAAATAAATATACCAAGAATATATCGTAACCACTACAGAAAAGGACATAGGGAACCGTTTATCAAAAAAAAAAAAAATACTGTTCACGAAAAATAGAATATTTAGTCTTTAACACGTATTTAGGGCATCAACGTAAGCGAAACCGCGGCTAAAACCTATCATGTAATTTTGTATACACATTGTTAGAGCTACAAAAAAGGACATGGGGTACCTTTCAACCAGAAAAATAATACCGTTCCCAAGGGATAAGAAAGTTAGTTTTATATGGTCGTTGATGATTATTAACACAGATTTCGGACATCATCCTGAGCGAAACCGCGGGTAACCTATCATCAAATTTTGTATACACATTGTCAGAGCTACAAAAAAGGACATAGGGTACCTTTTAACCAGAGAAGCAATACTGTTCCCAAGGGATAGGAAAATTACTTTTATATAGTCATTGATGATTATTAACAGGTATTTAGGACATCAAGGCGAACGAAGCCGCGGATAAAACCTAGTAAGAAATAAATTTTAATACCCATATTTAAGTACATTTTATGGTTTATTAAAGCCCTAAGGCAAAATATAGCGAGGGATTCTAATAGATACGTGTGACAGCAAGAAACCACAAGGTGATTCACGACACCACACAGCTGGTTTTCCTACTATTTTCTATCACCAACGAATATTTAACCGTACAAAACAACTGCAACACCTTTCTTGATGCGATTGCTATTGATTAATTTCATTATTTTTTATCATAACTCATTACATATCTATAAATAATCTACAATAATACAATATTACTAAATAGCACCCACTCGTCCAATTAAAATAATATTTAACGTTTCAAATAAAAATTTTACAAAATTGATACCACTGGGAGTATAAGTTTAAATAATTATTCATAGGTCATTCGTTAGGTAGCGCGCATGTTGTAGATAGCAAACAAACAAAAAATGTGAAACAGAATAAATTAAATAATGACGGGGGTAGGTATCTACTAAACAAGTTGAAAGTCGAATTTATTTTTGTGTTCAGTAAATTTTAATTATACAATATATGTAGCTCGGTGCACTCGTTACAGGTGGGATTAGTGCATCGGGCGTACAGCAAAGAGGCTTTCGTGCAATGAACGATGGAACACAGGGGACGCATTTCAGTCATTACATTCAAACCGAGTGGCTAAACGAGTGCCGTTCAGATTAATTGCCCCAATCTTGTGTAGAGTACGCAACGCAAAAGTAGATTCCACCGGAGAGTATTGCGGCTCCGGACGTCTACCTGAGGTGTAGAACACGATCACTAAGCTATTAACACACTAATTTAACGGTCAATTTACTTTGGCTACTAAAACATCCGACAACCGACTAGGTCATCAGTAATTATCGGGGTCCAAAGCTAACTTAATTGAACTATACACCTACTACTGCCACCTTACTACATACACATTCCCGTCTCCTCCCCAAATCTTGATACTACCCTCTTTACCTTCTCATACCGTACCCTCTCGCTAACAACTATTGATAATACCCATTTATAGTTCGGATAGTTCTTCTTTCAACTTACTAATGAGACTGGAGCGGTTGCTGACAGAACGCCTACTTTTACTCACAGCAGATGTAGGGAATATCGTAAAAATAGAAAAAGAGATGCCAAGTAAGAACTGCAGCGGGCATCAACGACCATATACAACTAATGTTTGTATCCCTCGGGAACGTTATTTTTTCTGGATAAAAGGTACCCTATGTTCCTTTCTATACCCTTAGCAATATATGTACAAAATTTCATGATGATTGGCCGGGTAGTTCAAGGGTGAAATGGTAATAAACATTCGCAATGAAAATATTAGTTAGGATACGCTAATTTATAGCTGTGCACCTTCTTGATAAAACCGCTTCTTTTTTAAAGTTATTAAAAATTAAATTACTAATGTACCTACGCAAAAAGCCGAACATGGCGTTTAATCTATCATGGTAGATATGCACATGCACATATACCAATGTGCATCTAATCCCGATTTCAATCTTCTTGCAGCATTTTAATATTTTACACACTCAAAAAACCGTTGATTACGATGGACCGTTATTCTACTTGCACTTTACCGTAATAAATATGTAATGAAACATGAGTAAAAGCATTAAATACGCGAATAGTTAATCAGTTACTTAATATTAAACCAACCTAATATGTATAACAAACGTTTGACCACACGAGATTCAGCAATAACTACAACCACCTGCAAAGTGTGTTTAAAAACTAATCATGAAGAAATAAACTTCTTACTGACAGTAGATCGCCATCTATAAATAATATTCCAAACAAAAATTATTATAACTATAACAATACACTTACACATTTAAGGCAAAATCACAATGATAAGCAAGGAAATAAACAATTGATTCAACTAATACTTTCATATAATCTAACTTAGAATTAGTAATAGTAACGTAATTAATGTAGTAGTAATTTAAAGGGTTTAACAAGGTAAGCGAATTCTGTAACATGGGTGATATTCTTGAAATGTAGCCAAGTTTCCGATTATCACAACGTTGTTTATGACCGCTGCAATAAATAGAGGGAAAATGTCACCTATTTAGCGATGCGGTCAGCGGTCATGAGTTCAACAAACCTACCAATTAGGACGTAGAGGAATATAAACAAGGTATCTCGTTTTCAGTCGGAATTTTGCTTTGAAATTGTTATTTGATTACTCGATAGTGTAGAAAAAGATATTCTGATGTGTCCTGTACATTATTCCCAAACATCTGCATCTCGTTCTCAAATTGCAAGCGTAATTTTCAGTCGAAAAGAACTTAAATGAGTCATAAGGTTGTCAGTCCTAAAACTGGTTGGTCACGCTCCTCCACTCCTCCCTATCCTAAGCTAATCTTCGCATTTCCCTAAAACTAGAACATCCCAAATTCTTAACTAAGTTTACCTCTACTCCTCTTAACTCCTGTTTCTGCCTCTAATACGTCTCTGATTAGACCTTCATGCCTGAAAAGATGTCCTACCAACCTATCTAGCCTATTTTTTATTAACTTCAATAGAGTCCTCTGTTCTCCTATTCTTTCTAATACCTTCTCATTTCTAACCTTCTCTATCAACGATATCCTCATCATTCGCCGGTAACACCACATTATGAACGCTTCTAACCTTTTCTTTTCCGCCGAGCTCACCGTTCATGTTTCACACCCGTACAGCGCCGCGCTCCAAATAATATAAATAAATATCACCGAAACAAAAAAAATATCAACATAATTAATTCATACAATCCCCGATAATTCTAGGTTTTCTATCAGCCCATAATAAATCCCGGAAAAACAATCTCAGCTGTAAAATACCATCAATTTCGTTTTTCTTTTTGTTACAGGTTGTATCCAAAGATTTAAATGGTCTACTTCAGCGGTCGTTCTGACTGCACAGGTCTATTTAACAGGAATGCTTGTACAACCCTAAGCAAAAAATATTTTTATAAATATGTGATGATAAGTTAATAATATAAAAGTAGATTGTTTGTATAAAAATCCTCATGTTTCGAAAAATTTTTTGCAAAAGACTGCTCCAGTCTTTTTTTTTTGGTTGTCGAAAACAATTACGTTACTAGAATAGGTATATATATATACCTGCCACTCCACCGAGAAGAAGAACCTTCCCTGTTTGTTCTATAGATATCAGTAGGTAAATTTAACTAACTTGCATGGAATTTGCGAAATTTAAGTTTCAAATCCCTCCTGCTACACATATCAGTATATCGAAATCATAGTCTAAGTCCAAAAAAAAAAATCAAATGCTCGGGAAATCAAAAAAGAAAAAAACACTGGCTTTTCTTAAAACTATAGATACGAATTTCCGCAACAAACCCTAATACAACGTACTAACAAATGCTTGCAGGAAATAGACGAAGTGGAAAATAAGTTGAAAGAAACGACCAAGTATATACGAAATTTCTCCACATTTGCGAACCTAGATACATTCACACATTAGAAGTAAATGTTTCTTTTTAATTTAGTAACTACGGAATTTGTTCAAACAATAACACGGAATGGGAAAAGAGCGCTTAAATAGGGACTGCATACATATATTATCCGGGCCAAATTTTAAAACTACATTATCAACATGTTCCATTCTTTGGATTTCCAAAAAATGAGCAAACTCGACTAATCTAATATATCTACATTTACCAAACACGTTTCTAGTTAATAAAAACTAATAATGTTAATATATGTATATTTGAAATGAAATTGCACAATGCAAACTGAGCAAAAATTGTTCCACAATTTTTGTATTTGATGTGATAAAAAAATATCGGAAATACGTTATTTATATAATATCATTTCTCACTTCGTTAGAAATAATGTAATAGCCTGATAAGTAGATAATTTTCCATCTGTAAGCTTTATTATAGGTATAGGTGACAGTGACTACTTTGATTAATTCTTGAACACAGGTTTTTCACCCGATTAAAACAACCCCAATTAAAATTTCTTTTACTTCTTCTTAGCAGTAGGTCGGTACAGTACTGAATAGAAAATGGAGACTGTGGAAAATGAATAACAAACTAAAAAAGAGACTCTGACAAGTTTTCACTAACACTTTTCACAGCAAATACATACGTGTTTCATGCACTTCCAATATGGACATTATTATCGATGCGAAAGTCTCGCATGAGAACTGGATGAAACGCTTTGAAAAATGTTACTGCTAACATACTTCGCCCTCTTCAAATGCAGGCATTATCAATGTAAGACTAGCATCAACGCGAGAGTAACTAATCATAAGTCTCGCGTTGATAATCCCTACATCAGAAGTGAGCGAAACACGTACCTGCTTTGAGACGTATTGACCACTAACACTTCACAGCGAAAAACTGTATCGCCCTCTTCAAATGTGGGCATTATCAATGTGAGACTAGCATCAACGCGAGAGTAACTAAGCCTAAGTCTCGCGTTGATAATCCTCACATCAGACGTGAGTTTTTAAATGTGTTGACTACTAACACAATAACCAGGCTGAGTCTCGCTTTTAGATTAGTAGAGTACTTACCCTCCCTACGAAATAATTAGGTATTTTATTGATAAAAAACGCATACATATTACTAACAATAATAATAGAATTAATTAAAGTATTCTAAATACGAGGGGTATAATTCATTTTGTTTATCATCACTGTAGTCTTTACAATCTATTCGTAAACCTGTAAACATATCGTAATGTGCTGCTTGTGAAACGTATACTTCTTGTTACAATTTCTTTCATCCACTACCCCTTGTAGTTAAATTTTGATGAAATATTGTTTAATTTCCGTACCGGTTAAAATCATGAAAAAAGGTAGTCGAACTATGTATATATTATATTTAGCAATATTATTCAAATTCGAAACATTTCATTTCAAAAAGTGCCAAATTAATTTAAAGTAAAATAATGTTTAGGTTTTTAGCACAGAATCTATTCCTTTTTCTAGAAAATTTTTAGCAGAATCACTATAGATAATAAAAAATACATTCCAGAAACTAGTTTAAAATGAGTTACCAATTAAATGACAACGTTGCTGTCTTACTGCTAAAAATTTTCTAGTGTAAGTCGTATAATAGGTGTATCTAATTGTTAATTTGTATAGTTTAAACTGGTTTACATATGTTTAAAAAATTTTAAAACGTGTAAGAAAATAAGAATAATTTCTGTAACTTGATTATAAAATAAAACGTTAACATAAACAGTCATTATATCTTATATCTTTTGACCCTAAAATCCTAAAATTTTTTCTTTACATACGTTTTTCTAGATTAAAAAACGATGGAATTTAATTATCGTCGAACTTGTTACACCCGGCTGTTCGACTGTTTTTCTTTCTCAAATAAAACCTTCAGCGACATTATACTCACGGAGAATCGCAGTGCAGAAAGAGGTAAGTTTTTGTTCAAACAAAACAGAAATTGACATAAATAATATTTGGACTATACCGTGCAACAACGAAGTACCTAACGAACATTATCTGCATGTAAAATTTACAAGTTACATAATTATAGACTACCCTCAACATAACAGGGTCATAATCATCGGTGTCTTTCATGAATAAGAAATAAAGTTACGATGTCCCGTCTAAATGCAGTTAATGATTGATTTGTATGTGTTATGCCAAGCATTTTGCCATTATTGGCATTAAACATTCACATTGGTGAGTGCTTGCCAATAGTAACTCGCTTATCTAATGCAATTGTGGAGTAAATAAATACTTAATTTTCTATTCCATACACCTACAGATACCGTAAAATTATTGAACAATTGCATTTAAAACATAGGGATAGTCTATTCGAGTTCCAATTAGCTATTTAGGTCAGTAATACAGATATAAATTAAATGATGAAATTATAGTACCATCAATGAAAACAGCCAGCCGCCTCACCACCCTAACTCACCTCACCGTAAAGTAAGCGACGTGATGCAACACATCTTTTAAATCTATAGGTTTGTTCGGAAAGTCATTTGGTTTTTTCCCGACAGAGGATTTAATTGTATTTCTTTTGCACCCAACTTCATATTTAAGCCGTATAATTTTTATATGCTTTGAGAGCTCATATAGCAAGGCTTGTGTGTGACAAATTCCGATTAATTCTACCCAGTAGTTTTTGGTTGGTGCCCTTTTAAATATGGAGAGCGATAAGCAGCATTTTCGACATATCTTACTGTTTTACTACAGAAAGGGTAAAAATGCTGTTCAAGCCAGAAAGAAATTGAC